GCGGAGCGAGGGTTCTCCACCCCGCACAACATGATCTACTCGGCCACCATTATGGTTACCGCCAACAAAAAAACCGGAGGTAAAAAAAAAAAACGGAAACCTGGTGGCCGAGTTCACGAAGTGAATTGGCTTGTTTTACAACGTCGTTGCCAAGCGACGAAAACACAACCCCGATGGCAAACACCGGGGGGGAACTGCCGGTGTGGGGGTGCAATTATTTCAGTGTGTGGGCGGGACGGAGGTATCGATATGATAGTACGACGACCTGTGTAGGGGGTTGCTTCTCTGGCCGAGACCATTGAGCAGTCGCAGCCTTTTTGTTGTTTCCCTCGATGGCATAAGCATTTGCCAGGCTCCTTTATGCCCACATGTAGAATGAGGGTACGAACACAGGTTGAAGGCGCAAACTACTCGGTGATGCCACTCTGTGCGCGCTTTGTAGACGCACCACCCGACTCCCGGGCGGACACCCACTGCGAGGACTTCGCCTTCCTCTCTTGTTCGCGCAGCAATTTCCGATACAGCATTGAATAAACCACAGCAGCCTCTTCTCTGGCGCCTCTTATTTAGTACGGAAGAGTGCCTCACCCCTGGGGAACGTGGTTGTACAGTAGCACAGATATCCGGACCGTCAGCCTGACATTTTGGCAGTTGGTTTTGGTTGGTTCGAACCTCTTTCTTTCCTTTTTTCGTGTGGTCTTGTTCATATTTCTGCAGGCAGTCTCAGTAGCAAGTGGCGGCTTGTACTCCTTCGGCAAGAACGATCACGGACAGCTCGGCCTCGAGGGTGGCGAGTCCAGGTTTGCACCGGTGAGCAAAACAACAAGCACGCTTCGGTCAAGAGCGAGGTTTTGTGCTGGTAATTCTGGGATAGTTTTTTTTCGTTCAAAGATGGGACTAAGCACGACGCCGCATGCTTCTGCGACAAGCGCAGCTTTCCCATGCACGCATGGGAGTGTTTGTTCCCTCGACGCTAGTATCCACTATGTTCATATTTTAGTCTCCTTGGCCTGTTGTTGTATTTTTGCCTCTTCTTGGCCTGCTCTTCTCTCGACAGAGCAACAGCGGCAAAATGTAAAGGAAAATGAAATACGGCCAGGTCGCGACGACATCTTGGCCAGTGGCGGTCTGAGTGCGTTTTTGGGGGGTGAGAGCAACAAGAGAGTTCCGCTTGAGCAGTTTTTGGTCGATCAAGCCTCATCTCGCCCGCGAACTCAAGGTTACCCGACAGGGCGCCGGCGCCGCGCTTGTGTCAATGTGCTGAGCAAGGTAGCCACGTGGCTGTGGGCCAATATTTCCGGAGGGTGAAGGCCAACTGTATCACATGCAGTATTTGTCTTCTTCGCCTCCTGTTTTATGCGGCGAGGTTTAAAGTTCGACCGTATCCCGAGGACCGGCCGCTGTATTCTGGTGCCTGATACCGCAAGGGGACGAGTGCAAAGACACGGAAACACGGTACGATCTTGCGTCACCCCTACGGAACACCCACCCGCGGATGCCAGCTCGACCCCCCTTTCCCAGCTTCACTGCATTACCCTACCGTGCATGGATTTTTGTTCCACCAAAGGTGCGGCACCGAACGTGCACGTCTGTGGTAGAGCAGCTGGCCTGCGGGTACTACCACACTGTGGCGCTCAGCAGGGCTGGGGAGGTGGTCGCATTCGGTCGCAATGACTACGGGCAGCTAGGGCTTGGGCACAGGGAAAGTACCTGGTGAGAGAAGAACGGAGAACGAAGGGGGGACGCGCATCGGAGAGAGAACGGGGGGTGGGCATAGAAGCAGGACGAACATGTCGACAATTGGGAGTGTTCTGGTCTTGACACATTGAGGTGTGGAGAAATAGGGAGACGGAAGAAGAGGGCCATGGAAAAAAAAACGATTGCTTTGTCATCCTTTTGATTTATTTATTCTCCTCTTGCTGTATCGAGGGAGGGAAATAGCGACAAGAAGAATCGATTGTTGGACGAAAGGTGAGTGGAGGGGAAATAGAACGGGATAATGGAACGGGCAAGGGGTGTTAAGGAACCAGTCGGCGATCGAGCCCATTCATGCCCCCCTTTTTCGTAGGTGGTCATTGGCTGCTGCAGATATCTAGCGGGTTCCGCTCTCGTCTATGCTCTGGTTCGGCTGCTCTTTTGTTCTGCGCCTATCCTACGATTTGTCGTTGATACTACCGTTGGCTACACAATAGAAGCAGTTGTAGTTGGTTTTCTGTCACACAACTACTCTGTCGCGTTGATTAGTGATACGGAAACGTCGTCATTTACCGTTCGTAAGAATGGATGTCATGTGCTTGCTACCATGCGCCGATCGATTCGCAATAGTTTTTAGATGCTGTTTTGTTTTATTTTTTTCTCGTGTGTTGTCTAAAATTCAGTTAATAATCCAGACCGCCATCCCAAGCTAGTCGCCGCATTTTCTTCCTCATCCGCCAGGCAAGGGGGCCAGGTGCCCGACCTCGCGGGAAAGCGAATCATCCAGGTCGCCTGCGGCTCGTACCACACCGTCTCGCTCGATGACGAGGGTCGAGTTTACCCCTTCGGGAGGTATGCGTTCGTTTGCACGCTGCTGTGCCGCTCGCTGTAAATAGCAATCTTCGACAGGGTCAATATCCGACGGGAGCAATCTCCGACAGGAGCAATCTCCTATCAGCGCCGACGATTCGTGCGCCTATCTGCCGGTCGGCCTTGTGGTGGTGTAGGTGGTAGCCTGGCTCCAAACATGCAGACTCCGGCGAAGTGACTATTTACAATGCCGCGCATAGAAGTCAGCGTTCGCGGGTACTGTGGGGGGGCAATCTGAATTATTCTCATTTTGTTGAATAGCGGCGAATTTCCAAAGATTTCGACTTTGTACAGGTGGTCTGTGTCTGAAACGATCATGCTAAGGTCTAATTCGTTTTGCCGCATGCGATACCAGAAATAACCATGGGCAGCTAGGGACAGGGACGAGAGAGGATGCCTGCCGGCCGTGCTTTGTCGAGGGGCTCTCCGAAAGTTTCGTGTGCCAGGTTAGTTGTGGACCGCGCCCTACGAATACGCAGAGGCGTGTTTGGTGTTGCGTCGAGCGTACGACGGTTACGCAGTAGGTTACATGAGAGACCCCCCCCCCCCCCCGAACAGAGGTTTTCCGTTACTCCACGGCCAAGGCATGCCACAATCAAATGATGCGTTGTCGGGAAGGTCTCGACAAGGCGGTTCCGACGCCGCCATTATTCGGCACCGTCACGGTGTTTGCTGCAGAGTAGTCGAGCTTCCGAAACCGTTCCAGAGGGTATGGTATCTCACGCAACCCGCGGGAGTTCCCATGTTTGTTTCATTGTGGTTTTCTCTGCCTGATGAGCGCAAACACACCCCGCTACTTTCTTGAGACATGGGGGGGGGGGGGGGGG